AACCTGAAAAGCATATGGAAGTAATTGTTGATAAATCAAAATAAATTAATGAAAAAAATTGCAAATTCCTTGAAGGAAATAGGGATACACACATGTATACATGCACACATGTGTTTGTACACATGTATATGCATGCATATGTATACACGCGTGCATATGCATGTGTGTATATATGTATGTGTGTATCCAGTGCCTTGCATATAATAACAGCTATTTTTATATAACATTTTAAAGTTATCAAAATACAACCATCATCTCATTCCATGCAGACAACAACCATGTAAGAATAATATTGCTATTATTTGCATTTTGCAGATGGACGAAATGAGGCTTGAAAAGTCTAAGGAAGAGGGATTTGATCATACTCATGTATTCTGCCTTTGGCTGGGCTTATCTCCAGTATTATTTCATGCTCTGTTTACCACAGCTTAAAAGCTATTGACAGACTGGAGAGTATCTATAAGAAGGAGATCAGTCTGATGAATTGTCCTAAGTCATGTTAAATGGAGACTGGTTTAAAGACTTGGTGAAGAGAAGGCTCAGGGGAGGAGGTATGGGTGTCACGGCTGTCTCCAAGCATTTGAAGTCCTCTGTCTGCAGAGAGCAGAACCAGGAGAAATGGGGGAGAGTTACAAAAAGCCTACATTAGCCTTGATGCAAAAAAAAAAAAAAAATGTTCTGCCAATTCGAGCTCTCCAAAGTGGAATAGTTTATTCAGAAGTGGTGGGTTCCTTTCCTGGGCTGACTTCAGGCAGAGGCTGGATGGCTACTTGGCACATATGTTATAGTACGGATTCCTTTTGTGTACCATTGAAGTAGATGGAGGCTAAAGTCACTTGTACCTCTCAAAAACCGACTCTGTGACAATGCTTGGTGTAGAGCACATAAAAAAAGTTTTCTGGATTCAATTAAATTTCAATTTGAGTGAATAGATTAGATTCATAGATAAGGTCACTTCCAGTTCTAAAAGCTACACTGCTTTCAAAGGGGTTACAGGTATCTTAGGCACAGCTAAGATAATACTGGCTTCTAAATGGATTTAGGGGAGAGAGAGAGACAGAGAGAGACAGAGACAGAGAGGATCTGTGTATTAGGGCAAGGGGAACAGGGATTTCATAATCATGTGATTCTCATTCTCTTGGCTGGGTAATAAGTCTGGCTGAAACATAGACTTTGCACTGAACCTTGGGAGCTCTGCACAGAAATTTCCAAGTTTAGATTCCATTTAACATTTTCCCAAAATGACTTCTCTGCTAAGGGAAAGCATCTTACAAAGCTTAGAAGGCTTCTTGGACATGGACCAGTTCTTACAAAAGCAACAGTCAGGGTAAATGAATTAGAAACACTAGGATTAAGATTCCTCTAAAAATACATGAATTTAAAGCTTAAAGAGAACAAAAACCTGAGTAAAAAATGTTTCTCTCAGCAGTGTGTTTGAAAATTCTGGATTTTTTCCTAAATAGAGATGACTAGGTATTTTTTTTTCTTTTCCTACTATTACAATTTGCTGACTATGAGGCCATTTCAGATTTTGGGATGTGGTTAGTGCCGTACAACTCACTTATCTGGGAAAACTTCATTATTGTGTCATGGCTTAATGGCCTTTGTCATGTCACAAGAGGCTTTGAGCCATAACGTATTGAGAGGAGGCCTCAAAAGACTTAGTTCAGAGCCTGCCTTGGGACACATCTCATTTAACTTTAGGAAAAATCACTTAAACTCAGGGCTGTAGGTCTAGACTATTCTCTAAATAGGGGTGGGGAACCTGAGACCTTGAGGCCGCATGTGGCCTTCTAGGTTCTTGAGTGTGGCCTTTTGACTGAGTCCAAGTTTTACAGAACAAATCCTTTTATTAAGGGAATTTGTTCTCGGAAGTCTCGATTCAGTCAAAGGTCGGCACTTGAGGACCTAGAAGGCCACATGTGGCCTCGAAGTCACAGGATCCGCACCTATGCAAGTCCATAGATTGAAAACAAAAAGGTAAAGGTCAAAGGTCCATCCATATCCCCTTAAGGGATTTACAGAAACACTATTATTATTAATATAGAATTTTATCAAAACTACTTCTTATTTATTTTGCATATTAAACATTCTGGTGAAAAAGCTATCATGACAAAGCTAATTGTTTTTCCTTCTCATACTTAGACTACTTATTGCAACTGAAAGTACAGTGGATTTGGAATCAGACAACAACGGTCCAGGCCTGATTCTGCCACTCAAAGTCATGTGACCTCCATGGTTCTCAGTTTCTGAATATGTGGAATGGGGAAAATAATCCTTCCCTATCTCCAGGGGTTGTTGTGAGCATCAAATGAAAATACAAGTGAAAAGGAGTCAAGACGAGACATTGGCAACTTGAGAGAGATAAATAAGCTTAGGACTCCAAATCAGAGGTCCCAAGTTTCAGGTTCCTCATTTGAAAAATAAAGATAATATTTCATTCTCTGATGCCTTGAGATGATATGAGGAAAGTGCCATGTAAAACACTCTACAAATTTAAATTATAAGATAATAATCATTTTTTCCACTTAATTTCTTTATAAACAACAAAGAGACAGATCAACACTATGGACAGTTAAATAATATGAATTGAGTAAGTACTGGTCCCTAGTCAGTGGGCATATAAATTATTATTGTTAATTGACTGCACTTATTACTTTATACTTAGTGCCTAAAGTATAAATCATATTTTTCAACCTGCTTAGAAAGCACCTAAGTATAACTTCAAGTAATAAGTAAATGACTATAAAAGAAAACCACGGGACAGAACAATCTAGTTTAAACAGCAGGCATCTTGGAGAAACAAGCTGGCTTTCTGGCGCTATTTTCTTTTTCATTCCCACAAGGAAGATGGAGGAACAAAGGCCGTATCATCCCTTTTGGTCACAGGTCTCTCTTCTGAATCCCCCTCCCTCTGCAGGTCAGGGGCAAAGCCATGCTGAGTCTGGGTAGTACTTTGAGATCTCCTCTTGTCTTCCCTCCATTTTTCTCCTTGGTAGTAAGAGGTTGGACATATTATCCGACACACCCAAGTACAAAGATCTGTGGAATCATTGAGGCCCTCAAACCTTTGCCTCCCATGTGACACACCCAAAATTATAAGAGTAAAGGACAGGCAGAAAGAAAAGTCCCTAGGTAGGCAAAGACTCTTTCCCATGCTCTTTAGAGGAAATGATAGGATTTTTAATAAAATACTAGGTAAATTAATATAGCTCTTATGATTTGTTAAGAAATTTCTCTCCTATTCCTACTGGAAAGAGCCTGGGATCTCTGCCCTAAACTAGAAATAAAACTTCTTAGCCAGGTTCCTTCAGAAGAACTACCAAAGCCCGAACTATTCCCCCTGGTTCTACCCTCAGTCCTGCAACAAAATATATGAAAGGAAATGGACCTCTATGGGTAGACCAATCTTGTTTTGGGTAAAAGCAGGATCAGAATAATGAAATCAATCAGAACATAGCAAAAGATGCATTAAGAGATGCCAGTTTTCCAACTTGCAAGTGTGGGGTGGGGCAGAGAAGCCTTTTGGGAGCTCCCTCAGATGTTCCAGAGAAATAGTCAGAATTCCTTGTTAGGAAAAGAAGCACAAGTAGAATGCTATAAGCCTGGAGGTTTAGTCCAAAGCCCCTGTGGCTGTTGTAATTTTGTAAACTACCTTGGCTTCTCGGCAATCTCTCCCAGTTCTCTTCCCAGTTTTAGGGTCAGAAACAAAAACAAAACAAAACAAACAAAAAACACCCATATCTGATTCTGTAATCTTACATTGTCTAGTCCCCAAATGGCTACACATTCCTTCCATCTATTCTGGGACTAAAAAAGCAACAATAATGGGGATAAAGACTACCACCCCTGTTCGTGGCAGAGATAAAAAAAATGTTCCAAAGGGATGCTATAGTGGAATGAAAAAAATAAAAATGAGGGGAACAGCCTAAAAAGTTCTAATGCTGCAAATCAGAAACTAGCATTTATTTAGGTCCACACTGCATGCCAAAGAACAATGGGAAGAGCTATCAACAGGTACGTGAAAGGAAAACAATTAGACAGAATCACAGACTCTCAGAGATACATGGGACCTTAGAATCCTTCTAGTCCAACCATATCCAAACAACTATTCCTTTAATGTCTCAAAGTCCTTTCTGGTGTTAATCTGTGATCCTGTGACCTACACTCTCAACAAGTGACCATTTGGCCTTTGTTTGAAGAACTTCGATGAAGGGGAACTCATAGGAAGTATTTTATTGGTAAGAGGCATTTTGTGACGTGAAGTCCTAACTTATCTCTTCCTACCATACTCCTTATTCTGCCATCTGGGGCCGAGTAAAACAAGCATGACCTTCCTTTAAAATATTCAAAATACACATCAGTCTCCCTCTTCCCAACCCTTACACATTTTCTTTTCCAAGCTACACATCTCTAGTTTTGTCCACTGATACTTCTATAGGCAAGAACTGTTTCCTCTTCATTATCTATGTCATTGTCTTCTTGACACGTTCCAGGTTATCTATGTCCTTTCCGAAATGTGACATCAAGTCTAGAATACAGTTCTATAGATTGATCTGAGGATCATCTCCCTATTCCTAAGAAGCCTAAGCATCTTTAGCTTTTGTGACATCTATATTACTTGGTCAATTAATGTTGAGCTTTCTTTTGTCTACACATTTCTAATTTCTCTACTTAATTCCTTCGTAAATCTGTGTCAAGATGAAAATCACATTCATTTCAGATGCAGATCCTTATAACCAATTGGTTGATGCAAGTTTCCAAATGCCTAAAAGATCCTGTTTCAGTTTGTGGTTATGCTACAGTGGCAGTGCCAGAATCCATGTGACCTGAAAAAGAAGGCAAGGAAGTCCACCCTAATCCATTTCATTACTTGGCATGCCCCCAAACAGATCTGTGCCTACTCTGGAGGAAAAAAAGGAGGAGGAAAAGAAGAAGAAGAGGGTGAAGAAGAAGAAGAAGAAGAAGAAGAAGAGAGAGACAAAGAGAGAGAGACTTACCCATATTTTGCAAAACTGGCCCAGTTCTTCATAATGGCGCGGCTCAGAATTTCCTCTGCTTTGGTATAATTCACTCTTCTTTCCAGAGGTAAGCCAAAGACAAATTCAATCTCATAACCATGCATGACTCCCATCCATTCAGGCCAAGCAGTTTTGGATGACCGATGCTCAAAGTAGTAGAAAAATGCATCGTTCCCTAGTTCAGAGACTTTTTTGGTAAACTCCAAAGCAGGGCATATAAAATTGTAATCTCCAATGACATCATCCATTACATCACGAAAATTATCAGGAATCTGGTTATCTGACCAGCCAGTGTAGTGAAACTCTATGGATTCCACTCCCAGTTCACTCACTCCAGGGAAAAACTCTCTTATCCCCTCTTGGAATTCCTTTTGACTTATCAGACTGCTGTTATCTTTGCTGAAACCTGGAGCCCCATAGACCAAAAAGTATGTCCCTTCATCTTTGTTAACTCCCACCAATATCTGTGTTTGTTTAAAATGCCCCTGCTGGATGAGGCTGTCTGGCATGTCTGTGAGAAAGTCTCCATCCACAGTTGGACAAAAGTTGATTTTTAAGAGAGAACCAGAGGAGAGAATGGGATTTACATGACCCAATATTTCCTGAGGCTTTTTATTTTGAAGACATTTAATTAGCTCAGTCTCATTTCCTCTAAGACAATCAAGGGATTTTGCCAAATCCAAAGTTCGGTTTCTGGCCTCTGAAGGAGACATTACTGCCCATGGGGCATTAGCAGACCCACTTTGGAGAATAGCTCTTGTAAATAATGGATGGCTTCTAGGAGAAAGAATATGAAAACTGACTGAAGCAGCCCCTGCACTCTCTCCAAACAGAGTTACACTTTTCGAATTCCCACCAAAACTTGCTATATTTTCCTGGACCCACTGAAGAGCTAATTGTTGGTCAAATAACCCCATGTTTCCTGGGGCCTCTGAATTTCCTGGCAAAGCCAAAAATCCAAGGGCACCCATTCTATAGTTCATTGAAACCACAATTACTCTTTCAACACGAGCCAGAAACTTGCCATCATAAACGTGTAAAGATGATGTTCCAGACTGAAAACCACCACCATAGATCCAGACCATGACTGTAGCATTTTTGGGTTTGGGAGCTGGAACCCAAACATTAAGATACAAACAGTCTTCACTAAGTTCAGTGTTTGGATTCCACATCTCAGATCCTGGAAACCCAGGAAAACTATCATCAATGTTTTGATAGCAAGAGTTGGAATATTTGGTGGCATCCCAAATATCAGACCATTTGCTCCGGGGATGTGGCTTTTGGAATCGAAGTTGACCGATGGGAGGTTCTCCATAAGGAATACCAAGAAATGCCGTCACCGTGCCCCCAAGAACTGGGAGTTGCAGTCCTTTGATTTTGCCTGTCTTGGTTGTAACAATGATGTCTTCTTCAGTCTCAGACTTCTTGGTAAGTGTACAGAGTAGAAGAAAACAAAGAAATAGGACGGGTACACTAGGTCCATTGCTGTTCATCCTGATACCTGAAATATAGTAAATAAAACACTTAACCAGGATGCATTCCATACTCATATTTACTTAAAAGAGATTAAAATATTGCTGTTTGTTATTTATTCAGAACATGACATAAACTAGATGCTTATGATCCAACTAAAATCCTACTCAGTAAATTAACTGGGCAGCAAGGAAGATTTTTCTCTCTACTGCATGAAATCTCTGAATGATTACAGTTGACCAAAAGTAGAAAGGGCTGCCTAGGAATTGTTTAAAATAAAACTATACACTATTCTAGATTTAGAACTGGGTATCTGCAATTAGAGGTTTAATGGTTACTTTTTATAGAGGGAATCATGATGCAGGTAAGGGAAAGACTACATGGTATCTATAATCTACTTCAAATTTGAAATTCTGATTCAATCTTTTGTGCTGCAGTAGTAGATTTTACATATGTGTGTATATATGTATGTATATATACCTATATATACATGTATGTATACACATACATATATATGTGTGTGTGTGTGTTAAATTGAGAAAGTGTTGGGGAGGAAGGGAATGGCCTTTTTCCCCCACTCTTTTCTGAAAATATCCATGCACAGAATTAATTTCCAAATCTTATGAAAAGTGGGGTAAGAGGTTAGGGGAGGAGTTTCTGGGGATACAATCAAATAAACCAAAGTAAAAATTTATCCCTTCCAATGTGCTTTCTGAAACTTGGACTGTGCTACTGCTAATTGTGCAGGACCAGAAAAATGAGAAATTGTAAAATGATGATGAGGAGAAGGAAGAAGAAGAAGACTAGGATGAGAAGGACAAGGAGGAAAAGGATGAAAGCTGTCACTTAAATGATACCTTCAGGTTTACAAAATTTTTACATTCCAAATTCACACCAAAGCAGTGAAGTAATTACTGCAAGTATTATCACTCCCGTTTTATAGATGTGGAAACTGAGACACAAAGAAGTCAAGTGATGAACATAGTCCCAGAGGTAGGAAATGTATGCAAATGACTGCCTTGAAGTGCCAACAATCTTCCTTTTTTGTGTCTGTTTCTCTCTACTCACTCTACTTAAGCACTCAATGTCTCATCCCACTTTCTTTCACAAAAAGCTGCAGTTAGGAAAGGATTGAATAAACTAAACCACATTAGGGCCACCCTAGTGCCTAACACTATGCTTCCTCGAAGCTTGAATTGTTACTCCAGGTGCTAAATTAGTTCATGTTATTGGTTTATTTATCAAGGAATAAGAAATTGAGACAGACTATAACTCTAATGGGCATTGAGATTTTCATGGAAAACAATAAACCTTAAGCCAAAGGAACGTGTCTGCCGATTTTTTCAGCGAAAGGGCCCAGAGTTTTGGAGGGGAAGTTAAACTCCAGGTGTTTCTGAAAGTTCACCATGTAGGTGCAAAGCTACATTTCCCATGGGTAAGCTGCCCCTAACTTTTGTATCAATATATGAGGGCTAGAAATTCATTCCAGTCAGAAGTTATTCTCAAAAATCATTAGAGAGGCAGGATGTCCTAGTGAATTGATGTTTTATATAAAGATCAAAAGGGCAGCTAGGTGGCTTAGTGGATAGAGCACTGGCCTTGGAATCTCCAAGACTCGTCTTCCTGAGTTTAAATCCGTCCTCAGATACTTCATAGCCATGTGACTCTGGGCAAGTCACTAAACCCTGCCTGTTTGCCTCAGGTCCTAATCTGTACCACAATCTGGAGAAAGCAATGGCAAACCACTCTAGTATCCTTGCCAAGAAAAGCCCACAAGACCTCACAAAGAGTCAGACGACAACAATTTAAAGATCGCGAGACAATTTATAAATAGAGGAAAAGTCTTTGCTAACAAATGTTTAGAAAAGCTTTGATTATTTAGTCCAAAACAAACAAACAAAAAAAAATAGGGTACAAAACCTTAACTATAAAAGTTGCAAATAAGAAAGAAGCAAACACCATCTGCTCCCAAGACACATACTTTAAATCACACTTCCACAAATTCTCAAGGTGAAGAGAAAAAAATAGCAATTTATAAATTGTGTAAATCTCTTAGAGATAGCCAATATGACATAGTGGATAAAGTTGCAGACTTTCAGTCAGGAAGTCCTGGGTTCAAGCCTGACTCTACCACATACTAACTATGTGGTAACATCGAGTCTTTTAAATTCCCTATGACCTAGAAAATATTCTAGGAGTTAAGCTAAAGAGGACCTGCTTTGGACTACCGGAATAAATAAAAATCGTCACCCCAAGATGGATTAGGCCTGAAGGATAGGAGAAAACGAAAACAAACTTATAACCATTTCTATCTAGCAAATGCTTAAAGAGTTTAAAAAAAAATCCCAATAGTAACAGTTATTGAGAAAATTCAGTATTATAAAAATAATCTGATTTACTACAACATAAACTGATGAAAACTTTCCTTGATTTAAAATTTCTAAATTCAACTGCAGAAATATATTTCAAGAGATTTGGCCTATATTTAGAAAGTAAATAACACATTATGTCCTCTCACCTCCCCCAAAATTAAAAAGGTGTTTATGCATGTAATAAGTTAGGCTAGTTTTATTTTTTTTAAATATATCTAAATTTTATATTTTTGAATGCCATTTTTTCATCATATGCTTTCCCTTCCCCTCCTCCTACTCAGAGAACCATGCCTCTTGTAAAATGGTCATTCAATAATCTGACTGATAAAATTATATGTGATTGCTATGCACTAAATGGTAACAGTTGATATTACTGGGATTCTCAGCACCACACCCAGGCAGACATTCCTTTGCATATATTGTGTCTGATTTAGACAGTGAGCTGTTAGAGAGTACAGCCTCAGGCAATGTCTTCATTGCCATGATTTCATGAAATAAGGCCTGTTTAATTCCATGGTGTGATTCTTTTCCATTTTCTAAGAAAAAGGGTGTGGGGGGGGGTTGGGGGGTGGATAATGGAGTCCATACCCCTGAGACAGTCATTTACATGGGCTAATGTAAATTTGACTAATCTTTTTGGGGGGGAGGGGCACTAAATCCCATTATATCATAGAAACCTACATCTAATGTTGCGAGAGATTGTAGAAGTCATAAAGTCTTATTCCTTTATTTTTTAGATGAAAAAAATTAAGGCTGCAGAAATTAAGTGACTTACCCAAATTTGCACAAATAGTTGCTTCATATGTTGCCTTATATACATGAATGTTTTAAGGATCTTTGTCTCTGAAAACCTATTTCTAAAGCATCAACTTATTTCTAAATTAGTGAGGCAATTTTTTATACGCTTCTTTTTTTTTTAAATTACATCTTAAAAGTTTTTATATACCTAGCTTCTGAACTCAACGCTGTATTCATTTCTGCCTGCATTTCATAACAATAGTTCTTATCTGACAAAATATCTATAAGCAATTGTGAAGATTTGGTCTCACTCTTACCAGTTTTTAATTCCTCCTCAATTTCTTGTGTGTGATATATTATCCAGAATCATATTCCAGGAAATTATTTTTAAATATATACACTAAGCTTTTGCCTTTTTTGACAATATAACATATCTATGACCTTTAACCTCATAACTAACATTGCCGTTCGTCTACATTCAAATTACTGATGATAAATTTGCTAATTACCAGTTCAGCAAATAGTTTCACTCCTCTGTCATACTCTCCACTGAGAAGAGAAGGTCTAGTGTATTTAAGAAGTCTACATACAGAACCATATTATGAGCAGAGTGACTGGTGTTTCATTCCAAAGCAGGAAAATTTAAAAAGGGCCTCCCCCATCAGATGAAAAGTGATCTCTTCCCTATCCAACTTCTTCCCTCCAATATTCCCACCCCATCCTAGAGACCTTTTTTCCCTCAAAGAATCTCTCCCTTAAACTCTCTGTCTGGTGGTACTTTGTAAAAGCAGAGATACCTTGGGGTCCTGTTCCCGTCTTTGTCTGGGCTACCCTTCCTTTGCGGGTCCTTTCAAACTCTGGGCCTTCTTCATCAGCAGCAGATTTAGAAACCTTGCAGTTTCATTTGTTTGACTTCTTCCTACTGCTGTCATGCTGTAGGTGAACTTTGAAGCCTCCACCTCCCAAATACACACAAACACACACCCACGCTTGCCGCTGGTGTAAATTTGTTAGCTGCAGCTGTGATCACACAACAAATATACAAATATCCTACAGATTTCAGGCTTTGATTTTAATCGCAAAAATATCTATATTGCCATCATAAATACCAAATTAAACCTATGAATTTAATTTGAAGGACATAAAGATGCAATAATTTGATATTCTTTTAGATTCCCTATTCTTACAATTTTATTGGTAGCTTTGCTATTCAGGACAATTTTTTTTTAATTTTTAACTTTTTTTTTTTTGCTTTTTGGTGAGGCAATCAAGGTTAAGTGACTTGCTTAGAGTCACACAGCCAGTAAGTGTTATGTGTCTGAGGCTGAATTTGAACTCAGGTACTCCTCCAGGGCCAGTGTCACCTAGCTGCCCCTTAAATTTTGATATACGTTATAGTCTTTTTTTTTTTTTTTTGCTTTTTTTTTGGTAAAGCAATTGGAGTTAAGTGACTTGCCTGGGGTCACACAGTTAGTGAGTGTCAAGTGTCTGAAGCCATATTAGAACTCAGGTCCTCCTGACTCCAAGGTCGGAGCTCTATCCACTGCGCCACCTAGCTGCCCCTTATTCAGGACAATTTCAACGATTGTTTTGAGGGTAAGGGAAGAAAAATGTTGACACATTTAATTAATCCAGAAAAAAAATATTCAAAGAACACTAGATAACAATCATTTTAAATTATTAAAATGGTTAATAAGTGACCAATCTAGAATTTGAATGATGTGAAAATACTCAACTGACCAAGCTAGCTCCATTTTCCCCATTGACATTTGGGTTCAGTCAGAGCATGCTCCCTTTAAATAAACTATTCTTTTGGAAAGAGAAGCACTTCTGTCCTAAGAAGGAGAGAGGCTGATACTCTTGGCAAGTACAGCTGCAAGTATAAACTCAGGAAATTCAGCTTGTTTATTTCATTGTCACAGATATGAGAAAAAAGGGAAGAAAATGAGGGAAGGAAGGGGCATAGCAAACAAGAGACGAGCAGAGGAAAAAGAAAGGAGGAGATGGGAAAATGCACAGCATCGTCTTTCTAGAAAAGGCTTGTGAAGATAAAACATTTTAAATAATAATTAAATTGTGAAACTTGGAAATATTAAAAAGTGATCTAACTGACAAGAAAGGGAACTGGTAACAGAAAATTTCCATTAAGTTTTTCTCAGAATCAAATCTGGCAATGAGCATCAAACAATCTAGCCTGGATTTTGGGGAAAAAATTAATATATCATCCATCACTAAAAATGTGCTTAGTAAATATAGTGAGGACAGTATCACTTAATATACACACATGTGTATATGTATACACACATGTGGACATATATAGATACATGTGTAAATATATGTATGTTTACTTTATCCATGTTCCCTTCCTTCTTCATCTACACAGAGAGCCTTTCCTTATAACAAAGAAAAAAAAGAGGAAAAATCATTCAACAAACTAATCAATCTATTAAAAATTGGCATCCCTCACTTGCCTCTTACTGATTTCTTTTAGCCATGGACAGCGGAGAAGCAACTATTTATCACCCTGGTTGAAGGGGCATCAACATGACCCAAGGCAACAACAGAAAACAACTTTCAAAGGGACAGAGCCAGGAGGCACATCTGGGTCCTCAAGTCCTACGCTCTTGTTTGGCAGATGAGGAAACAGGCCTAGTGAGGTTAAGTAACTTATCTTAAGAGGGCACCCCCTTAGCAAGTACAAGAGACAGGATTAGAACCCAGACCTACTTTCTCCAAAACTTCACACTGCAGATCAGTGCTTTTTCTATTCTCCCTATCTACCTGCATGGTTGTCCTTGAAATGGAAAACTTACAAGACTGGAAGCTGGCTCCTGGACTTAAATTTCAGGTCTCTGACACTACATCAGTGACCTTGGACAAGTTATGCAGCCTCTCTGGGTCTCAAAATTCTCATCTCTAGGGACAGAGAGATGGAACAATGAGATCACTGGTCCTGGAGTCAGGAGGATGTGCGTTCAAATCCTGAATCAGATACCTATGAGCTATGCGGTCCTGGACAAGTCACTTGAACCCTCTAATCCCCACCCAGTTTCCTCTTATAAAATAGGGATAATAACCATACCTACTATAAAGGGATTTTGTGAGGACCAAATGAGATTGTATTTAAAAAGAGCTTTTCAAACCTAAAAGCACTTTGTAAATACAAACTGTTATTATTATGAGCACAGTCCCTGGTATACAGTAGGAATTTAATAAATGCTGGATTGGATACGGTACTTATCCTGAAGATGGATTTTTAAAACATTTCAGAGCATGTGAAATTGCGCAAAATGGAATAGGTGGGGTCAGTGGGAGGGGTTATCCTGATCTTTGAAATCAGGAATTGGTCCTCAACTGTCTTATACAAAAAATAAAATGCTGGAGCATTTCACAGGTGATACGAATACGTGTTCACTTTTTTGAAGGGGATTTCCGTTTGAAATCTTTGAAACGAAGAAAATCTTTGGGTAAAAGTCTTTTGTGGTATTTGCTTTTTAGTGGCTAACCATCTACCTAAAGATAATCAATAAAGAAGTGAAGGATTAAAAAAAAAGTTAGTGTTACTGAATTTGCTTATGTCTTGCTTGATAATAGATAAGAGACTGCTAACTATGTAGAAAGCCTCACTACTACAGGACCCAAAGAAATAATGCAAGGACAGAGAACTTTGTGACTCCAGTTAGGAAATTTGTCACAGTCTCTCCTCATTGGTCAGTCAGAAATATTTCATTCTGTTTCTTAAAATCCCTTTGGTAGCCCTATACTTATCCCTGAATTTAATAATCATTCGTACATATGTCAGGTATAGTTCAAACTCAACCCAAATAAGCTTGTCAAGGTAACAGTAAACGTTGCCAAAATGAACATCATTGCCTTCTGTTCAAGGAAGAGAATTAATAAAACCTTAGCACCGTTACAGAAATAATCATTCATTAAGTGTAACTTCAATCAATTCTCCCCTTTCATTGAAACTCTAGGTTAGCTCATTCCAAAGAAGAAAAGCCAGAAGATGCAAAAAATCCTTAGGTTTCACTAAAGTTGGAAGTGGCCAAATATGGATTAATTTCAAAATACCAAAGCTCAGTCAATAGGTAACTATCTAACTCTAATTAAAAAAAAAAAAAAAAAGGTAAATACACACACGAGAAAAGTCAATGACCACCACTGTTAAACTTTACAAAGTGACGAATCAGCATTCAGTGAATTTAGAACACAAGGCTATCACACTCAAAGTGTAGTATAAAAAGGGATGAAAAATACACATAAGCAAAAAATTCCTTTTTCAACTAGAAAACAAAGTTTGCACGAACACTTTCCTCATGCCCCAGTGCATACTGACTTATGTAGATTGAAATCCCTGAAGGCTAACAAGGGTTCATCCGCACTCCTTCCAGTCCCATCTGTCCCCCTCCAGCATCACAAACATACATGGCAAAACAGAGACGTAGATCCTAATCCCCAAACAGCTTCCTCACTGCTTCCTGGAGTCCTGCTCCGTACATGCAGAATGACTTACCCTGTTCCCCAGCCACAGAGATGATAAAGTTTGTAAGGACTCGCAATCCCTTACTATTTCAGTGAAATGTAGCCTGCAGCTGCTGCTCCTAGCTTGGGAATTGGACGAGCCCTAATCAACTGTTACTGACACAAAGCTCGCGAGACTCAGCAGCAGCAACCTGATCTTGACGCAGCCGGTCCTTAGTTTCTGACATCTGTTCCAAGGCTAATGGTGGGGTGGGAGCAATGATTCAGTTGCAAGAGCCTTCCAGGGTTCCTGTGGGCCTATCTGAAAGGGAAAACACAAAGACTTCTTAGAAAAAAAAAAAGCTACAATTTGGCAACAATGGAAGTCTTTCATGGAGCTAAGAAACTATTTTTTTTAACCCCTGAATATCTGGGGTAAAGTTGTTTCACAGATTACAGGATGTTCAAAGGAAACACAGGTATTTCAAGCCTGGGAAGTCCCTCCCTGCCTCTGATGGGACTGTAGTCCTTGAAATCCAGGATGGTGAAAATGAAACCAGGAGAATCCAGATGCCCTCAGTAGGCACTGCCACGCAGCTCCCACCCCACCAATTATAAAGGCTTCCATGCTAGCCACGTGGTGATTAATGGCCCTTTGGTAATAACAAAATGTTTTGTCATCGTCCCAATTTGTCAGCCCTCCTAAACAAAGAGTAGAGTATTCACAATTACCAAATAAATTTGGACTGTGTAGACAGCCAAGCTGGATATATTCCCTCAGCTGCCTGATTGATTAAACCGCCCCTACCCTCAATCTCTATACTTTGTGTCTATCTCTATACTCTTTGGGATTCAGTTGTGAAAACTCCCTTCATACAGGTAGATCGGAGACTCCTCTGGGATTATATTTGTTAGAGTGTTGTCTGGGGGAAATGGAAGGTTAAGGGCTTTGCCCAAAGTATGCAACAAAAGCAAAATTGGAGCCTGGCCTTTGTGATTCCAAATCAATGCCATACAATATGAGGGAGGGAGGGAGACAGACAGACAGACAGAGACAGACAGACAGACAGACAGAGACAGAGAGAGACAGAGACAGGGACAGACAGAGACATTGACAGAGACAGAGACAGAGAGGGAAAGGGAGAGGAATAGGGAGAGGGAGAGGGAAGAGAGGGAGAGGGAAGAGAGGAAGAGGGAGAGAATGGATATATGGAGATAGATGGATAAAAAGATAGAGAAATAGTTACTCTGTGTGTGTGTGTGTGTGTGTGTGTGTAGTGTATAGTATACCTGATAATTGTATTTTGGTGATTATACCCAGAGAGAGTCATTTGAAAAGGGGTAAATAAAAACAACCACCAAAAAGAACTAGCCATTTATTGTTATAGGAGAATTATTTTAAACTTCACAAAAAAGATAAAACAAAACCCTAGAGGTGACCTAAATTTTTAACAATTGGGGAATGACTAAAGAAATCGTGATACATCAATGCCATGGGTGACTGTAAGGCAATTAAGACTGACAAGTGCAACAATTCAAATTGAAAAAGTAGAACCAGGAAAATAGAGTGCAAACTTCCTCTTGCTAGGCTGCTTCTAGTCCTTACAAGAAGGAACAATGTATGAGAAGGAAATACCTCAGAATTGCGTTGAAGACATCAAACCAAACTGAAGAGCCCCAAATTCGAAGGAATATTTGGCTACGTTGAGCAAAACACATGACTCAGGACACTGGAGGAAGATGCCCAGAAGGGCTCCCTGCTGTCCTCTGGTCAGACGTCATCTGCAGTGCTGCGGGAATTTTGGATGCCACTCTTTAGGAAGAATATTGATAAATTGGAGGGCTTGAAGATGACAATGAATAAGGTGGGAAGGGTCTCCGGATCATGGTATATAGAGATCAGTGAAAATATCTGGGCACATTGGTGGAGAAGAAAACTCTAAAGGGAGAGTTTTAAAAATATGAAGGACTATAAAAATGGTGAGCTCATTGATTTTAGAAAAACCTAGAAACCTAGAAAAACTTGGGCCTCTGAGGGAAGACACTCTTCACCTTCATAGAAAGAAGAACTCATAATTAGAAGCATGTACAGCCCTCCCTAGAGAAGGGTGGGGAGGGAGGGAGAAAAAAAATACACAACAGAGAATGAAAGAAAATGTTAAAAGAAAAACCAAAAACCTGGGTATCTCTGAAAACGTGTAGTATTTATTATGTAGTTTTTAAAAAATAAAGTAAATAGCCAAAATGGAAATTTATAGTTTTAGATTGAATCCTCTCTTTATGTTCTATGGTATAGATGGAGATTTTTTGTTGCTGTTGTTTTATATTTAAGTAAATGAATAAAATATTTAAAGCTATCACATGGCAGAAGAAGGAAACTTGTTCTTCTTGGCCCCAGAGGACAGAATAAGAAGCACAAAACAATTTTATTTATGAATAGATGCCTCTAGGATTGTTATGAGGGAAAACACACACACACACACACACACACACACACACACACACACACACACATATACTTCTCCTAATGATTATAGCTGTTTAAAAGTATAATGGGCTGCTGTGAAAGTCCTCAATGAATTATTTCAAGCGAAGAATGAATGACCAATTATTGTGAACATTTAATAAGAAATACACCTCAGAATGTGGATTTAGGTGGCCAGAAAGGTCTCTTTCAAATTCAAGGGTAAGAGATTTCTGTGTGTATATGTCTTTATACTACACACATATCCTATATGGGTATATATGTCAATGTGTGTAGTGTATGTGTGTGTGCGTATAGCTGACAATCCTATGACTTTTATTTCTTTCTTTTCTCTAGTCTAATGATAAAAACTAGCTCCAAGAAGTCATAGCATGCACAATAGCCACACCCCAGCAAAACTATCTCGGCACATGGGCTAAAGCAGGTTGGGAGCGATTGATAGGCCAGGGAGATATCTATCCCAAGCATGTGAAGACTTCTCCTGGCAGAATGGGTAGATGAAAACAATTTGTTCCAATGGCCATGAAGATAATTGAAGCAGACGCTGTTGAGTTCTTAGAGCTTGGTTAGACATGAAAGATGCCAAAGTCATTCACTGCATTTCAGGCCACTGTCAATCATCCTGACTTTTGCCTTGCCCTTGTACTTTGATGATTCTGGAAGAGAGAGTGAGGCCAATGACTTCATGCAACTCTGTCTCACTCAAATCCAATTTATGTGTCATTTCACTGGACTGAAGCACCTGTGGGATTCAACAGCTCTACCAGGTATCTGAATAGCTTTTCTTAATGCCCACACTCTCACCTCCTGGCATGAGGAAGGGGCTAGAAAAGGTGACCTAAAAATTTTCTGCTCCACATAAGCTAATCCTGGCCTGCTTACTATGTCAGGCAGGGATCCCACCCTGCAACTAAAAAAGCAAAAGTTGTACAAAGACTTTTATGAAGATGACTCCACTCACTATTGGTACATGGAATGTGTATATGCTCATGGACAACATGGAATCTAGGACCTAGAACACAAATATGTCTTGTTGTAAGGGAACTTAGCAGTTATCACATCCAAATAGCAACCCTGTGTGAAGAGAGGCTGGCAAAGGAAGGCTAGCTTAAAAAAGTTGGAGCTGGATACACATTTTTCTACAACATCCTCAATGATAGGGAGAGCCATGAAGCTGGTGTAAGTTTTGCAATCATATCTAGTCTAGTAAACAAACTTGTATGCCTCCCAAAAGGAGTGAATCACAGGCTAGTGACAATGTGATTGCCACTTGTAGGAAAATGCTGTGCCATCATCATCAGGGTGTATGCTCCCACCATTATAAACTCTGATTAGGTCAGGGAAAAATGTTATGAAGATCTGGAGACCCTCACCATTAATGTACTGGAAGAGGATAAGTTTGTAATTCTGGGTGACTTTAATGCCAGAATAGGCAGGGGGTCCTTGGGAGGAATGGAATCAGAAAAAGCAACAGCATTGATCACTTACTAATGAAGACTTGTGCATCTCATGACCTTTTCATTACCAATGCTGTCTTCTGTTTACTTGAACAGAATAAAACTTCATGGATACACCCTCTCAGCAAACATTGACATTTAATAGACTGTGTGATTACAAAAAGAGACAGAGAGTGATAAAGATGACATGTGGCACAGAGTGTTGGACCAATTATAGACTTATCCTTTCCAAGTTAAACATTTGCATTCAACAAAAGCGGCAGCCTTAAAGACAACTACCAGAAGACCTAAGGTCAACAGATTAGAATGCTTCTCCCTGTGTGAACAGTTTGTTGCAAACTTGGAGGGAAAGCTGAGACCACACATGGTAAGCAACAGTGGAGAAGAAAAGGAGCAGAAGCTTTCAGAGATCTGGTGTACAGCACCATTTTTACTCATCTGGGCCAGCACACTCGCAAACATCAAGATTGGTTTGACAAAAATAATGGGGAATTCAGAAGTCATGGAAAAAAAATTAGAACTCCACAAGGTTTACCAGCAGAATAGTCCATCCATCTCTAAGAAGGAAGAGTTTAACACTATCTAAAGTAAAATGCAAATGAAACTTAGAGAAATGCAGGACTCTTAGCTTAGTTAGAAGGCAGGTGAAAGTCTTATACTGATAGTAACAACTTAAAGCATTTCTATGATGCCCTGAAGACTATTTTCGGGCCAAAGATCTATAGTACTTTTCAACTACTCAGTAGGGATGGAGCCACACTGATCAGTGATAAGGACATAATCATGGAGAGATGGACTGAACACTTCTGTGCTATTCTCAACAGATTGTTATTAACCAATGCTGAAGCCACTGACTATTTACCTCAGGTTGAAGTCAATCTTTCTCTAGCCAAACTTCCAACTGAAGAAGAGGTTTGGAATGCCATAGGCTCCTCTCATGTGACAAAGTGAAAGGTGCTGATTCTATCCTGGCTGAGATTACAAGGTAGGGGTTTCACTGCTCATACCAAAGATGACTGAAATCTTCCGGATTATATGGCAGGAAGAGGTTATCCTCCAGGAGTTTAAGGATGTATCCGTTGTCCATCTCTACAAAGGGAAAAGAAATGGGTTTTCCTATACCAATCATGGGGTGGTGGTGGAGTTCTCTCTTAGTCATTGCTGGCAAGATTCTTGGCAGAGTCTTCCTTAATAGGCTGATCCTTTGCCTGGAAGATGATCCTG